TAAAATAATTCATATCCAAACATGATATTTAAATAATGTTCTTGGTAATTGTGTGAATAGAATAACATTTTTTAAATTCTAATACTAAGCCTGAAGGCAATAGTAAAAAGTATGCCCGTACATGCAATATAGCAACATTTGCTCATTTTCAATGTGCAAGTCAACTTTTCTCTTTTACAGTGGTTTACTTCTATTTAATTTCCGCATATTTATATAAATATGAAATCTATATTTTATATCTAATACCCAATAAGTTAATGAAGTAGACATAAGCCTAACAGTTTCTCTTCCAGTGACCCTTCATTCCACAGTGATATCAAGGGTCGTCAGACTCGATAATACCCTTATTTGCTTTGACTCATTAGCCATTTCAGATGCTTTTCTATGGCCTCCTTTAGATTTCCTCTTAGTGCCCTTAAACGAATCACTTGTCAGACTTGCCCATTACAAACTTTGATGCTGGGCTCAATAGTCTTAAGCATGTTTAGCAACTTAATGAGTGTTCATTCGAGCTTACTCATGTTAAGTTCATAATAAATTGTGAATATCTCCCTGGCATATACTGTAGAACCAAGTCAATACTTAGTTCATGGTCCATAACTGAATCTAATTGAGACAACTTCTCAATATAATCAATCATCCTCAGTACATGAGCTAGAACTAACGATCCTTATGCCATTATACACCGATATAGTTGCTTGGAAGTCTCTTATGGTTCCACACGTGATTACTCATACAACTCTTTGAGATGAAAAATCATCTGCTGGCATCTATACCTTTGTGTTACTTTTGTAACTCAAGTAATATAGTTGCAATCATTAGACATGTTGCATCATTATTGTCATCACCGTGTTTATTATATTAGTCACCTCTTATTTAGTCGAGTCATCAACAGGTGTCTTTGGAAATGGGTGATTTAAGGATACAACTAATTTTCTCATGCCTGAGAATGATTATCAAATTGCGGTCTAATCAAGAAAATTTGACTTGATTGTTGGCATCTAGTCAATCTCTCAAATTTATATGATTATTTATAATTTAAAAATGTAAATGACGAAAAATTAAAGAATAAGATTTAGAAATGCATCAATTAATTTTATATGGTCTTTTATTAAATTAATTATGCTTCCATTATTTAAATCAAATTTATGATTCTCTCACGTAAATTTATGAAATTTATACTTGATTCCCAATGGGTTGAGATCGCATTTATTATGTTAAAACCTTGAGTGAACTCAACAAACCTTACTAAAACATTTGTGTAGATACTATTATCAATTGTATCTCCATACAATTNTTATATTAAAACCTTGAGTGTACTCAACAAGCCCTAATAAAACTTTTGTGTAGATACTATTATCAATTGTATCTCCATACAATTTTCAGATTATTAAGTTGACAACTATTTATCTTCACGCATCTTATATGTTTTGAGTGTACTCAACAAAAGATAAATTTTAGTTAAGTCAAACCCATCATTCAAGAATATCTAATATTTCAAGTGTCAAATATATTCATAATAGACCACCTTTGAGTGTGCTCAACAAGTTGAGATCGATTGAGGACTTTGATTGTTCACTATAATGATGGAAGATAAATAATGAACCTGACTTAATATTTTAGGGAGGAATTTATCATGCAAATGTCTCATTGTAATAACTATATATATTTTATTATGCTTTAACATACAAATAAACATACATATA